ACTAATTCCAAACTTCACTCCTGATCAGCTTAACCCACTTTGAAAGAAGTGTCCACTCATCGAGTTACTCAGGGACAGCTTTTAAATTTACACCTTATATTCATTTGGATCAACTTACACATGTAGAGAACGACCTAGCAGTGCCTAACCAGCTTCCTATACCACTTTAAAACACAGACATTTAAAATTTGAGCTTTACTTAAAAATGCTTGCCACTTCTGATGAAGACAAGGCCTAAGTAAATGCGCACACAAATTTCATAAAATGGGTGGGCGTTGCTTTCTGTAACACACAGCACTATACAAACTATCAGCAGTTCATGGAACCTGCTCTTCATGGGGCTAATAAAAGAATAAGAGTTTCTGTATTGTGAGTGTTTGGAAATTGCTCCACCTTGTTATTTCCTCCACTGTCCCTGCACTACAGCCCTCAAGTTGAGGACAGAACAGGACTGGCCAGATGCACCAATACTGCTTCAATGTCAGGGAAGTTTTTTTTGTTTTGTTTTGGGGGGTTTTTGGAGCAGGGGAATGGGCCGGGATTAAATTATTTTTGTTGCAACCTCAGTGTCTTTAAAATGGTCCCATTAACATGCTCCTTGTAGGTTAGAGAACTTCACATCGTTAAAGGGTTATCAGTGATATGGGCAAACAACTCTGAGCATGGAAAGAACATGAAAGGCCACTCAGGGTATCTCAAACGAAAGTCTAATGGGTACAGAACTGTACTGGGCTAACTTATACTGGCTTGAGAAACTGCAATGGGGCAGCACATCCAGTTTGGGAGGAGAATGACCATATTTATCTGAATCCAAGACAATGTTTTTTCTCTGCTTAATGGGGGTAAAGCGTTCCTCCTCTTGGATTCAAATTCAGGGTGGCAGAAGGGCAGGCAGCTGCTGCGACTCCAACTCCAGCCCTGATTTGGAGCTGGAATCAGAGCCAAAGCCGCTGTCCAACCCCACTGCTTCTGCCTGGCCTGCCCCCGTGCCCATCTCTGTCTCCTGCCCCCCTACTGTTTACCCTGCCAACATGGCTCCAGCCCAGGGCACAGAGCACATGGTTGCTCTGGCTGCAGCCTGATCACTCCACTGCAGTGAAAGCTGTCCCAGCCCCTGGCACCAGCTGGAGCTGCCACCACCATAACAGGTGGTATGTAGCCAAGTGGGACTGGAGCAGCTATGTGCTCAGTGGCCCAGGTTGCAATGAGGCCAAAGCCCTGATAGAAGATAAGCAACATCAGGTGGGGTGAAAGATGGCAGGCAGGGAAACCAAGTCATGACAAGACAAATCATAGCCAAAAGCTGAATTTATATGAAGCTTTACAAAATGTTAAAGGAAACAGACATTTTTATTGTTTCTGTTGTGCTTTGTTTCGCTGCAGCTTGGGGGAAGCAGGGTAAATGGTACCTGGGCAGAGTCCAGTATAAATTAAAAGATCTCTGTGAAACAGAGCCCTTTAATATATGGACAATGGCTTAGGTCACCATTGCTGTTTACACAATTGTCAGGAGACTCACCAACTGACAGCTAAAAGCTAAATTCTATAGATGCAATCAATATGCATTTCTGCAGTGAGGTATAATCCCTTTGAGAGTAATCTTCACTGGATTTGCCTCCCTGGACACTATCTACTCTCCCCTGAGAAGTTCAAGACATTGGACTAATTACTTGGTCTAGGTCAGGGCTGTTCAACTGGAGACTGGAGCAGTATATATGAGAGGTTAAGTTGCAGCTCCTGGGCTCCTGCCCAGTATGCCTCCCCTTCTCCTATTGCTCTGGCTTCTGTTTCCAGGATCCCCCTTCTTTATCCAGATGTGTGTTCTACACCTGGCCAGGGGGAAGGCACAGCGTGGCACAGCACGGCACAGCACAGCCCAAGTAGCTCAGGCTGAAGCCCTGGGCCTGCACGGTGAGCTCTGCAGCAGACAGGAAGAGGGGCATTCATGCCAGGCTGTTGGGTTATCCACACAGGCACATGCTGCAGCAGAGGGGATGAGGGTGTGTTGGGGGAGGATGCAGGCATGTGCTGCTGCCCTTGATCCCTGCTGATGCATGTAGTTCCAGCTAGTGCAGCCTGCAGGCAGCACTGTACCTAGACTTCTGGTGACCCTGGGCATACTTTTAGTATTGGGACCCCTTCACCAGATCATTATTTTCACCATTTTCAGGCCCGCTTTCTGTCCAGGCCCCGGGCAACCTCCCGGTTTGCCCATGACTGTGTCCAGCCCTGCCTGTGGGGCATGAGGCGCCCAGCTACTTATAAAACAGTCCTGGTCTAGGTTACTGCTAGGAAAGCCAGCGAGGGACATCAATAACAATCATTCTGCAACTTACAGCTTGTGAGCTGTACTAAATTGAATTATCACCCCCTCACTGGCCAGACTTCCTCCGAATTCTACGTTTCAGGGTGTTGGTTGTAGCCATGCTGGTCTAAGGACATAGGGAGACAATGTCTCCTGTGGGTAGATGTGATATCTTTTATTAGACCAATGAAAATTAAAATTTTTAGTTGGTCTACTAAAAGCTATCAGATTTACCCAAAGAACCTTGTCTGAATTCTAAAGCATTCTTCTTTTGTTACGAACAGTATGCGCACATCTCAGGGTGCTGGATCTTGAGTGGATGGTGAAGAGGAAAAAGCTCTGTTTTCTTTTGGTGTAATGTTCCCAGATAGCTTTTTGGAATGGGAAATGGGGGAAGAGGGTCTCATTAAAAATCCTATGATTAAATTAAACATGCAGATTGCATTAGCTCTGCAAAACAGGAACAGCTGTTCAGCTGGTGTACTTGGGGCTGAGACATCAACTAAAGGAAGCTTCTCTACTGGCAGGCAGAGTATCTCTACCATCATTCTATTCTGCATATACTCTGTCCACAGGTTATGAGGCTGCACAGTGAACTGGGACTTGCAAGTGTTGTGCCATTTAAAAGAATTCACATAAATCAGAACTAGAATTTTAAGGGCAGGCTGACAAGAATAAAAAAAACCCCAAACAGCCAGTTTCCGAGGAAACCGAAAAAAAAAAATCTATTTGAAGGATAACCGAAGCCATTTGGTTAGGCAAGCTGGGAGGAAAAAAAAAAATATCAAGAGGCTTTTAAATATTCATTTATGTTTTCTAATAGGCAGCAATACAGTTTCAGTGTAAAGGCTTCCAAAGCTAATAAAGTCATTTTAAACAGGCAGGATCAGGACAGCAAGCTGATTAGTCTGAAGACAGCTCAAAATTTCCTTCCCTTCTCACAATTCAGAAAGACAATGAAGCAATTTTTTAAGCAGAGCACCACAATCCAGGGCATAAGGTAGTTGTAACATAATTGTAATGCTCATGCCTTAATCTTAATACTTCTCAGAATGTGCAGGATCATGCACAATGTTGGGTACCTACCCTCCAAAAAAAGTTTAATAAAAGGGAAAAAGAAAAACAGAGGGAGGAGCACCAGTCACCTAAGTTAATTCAAGCTGCAGAAAGAAAAGTTAATCAGTTCATCTCGGGTGGATCCAAAAGGAAGAATGCAAGGTACACCTTTTCTCAAATTTCTACTATTTAACCAGATCTGGAGCAATTCCAGAAAACAATCCCTGCCCCAGGGAAGCAGGGACAAATGGCTGCTCAGCCTACAGAGGAGCTTCCAATCAGACACTGCATGAGGGCAAACCCAGGGCAATTTGGGATTTACCTTTGTACCTTTCAAATATTTACCAAAATATATACACAAGCTACACCCTTTAGAAACCCAGGGAGAGGAAGGGGAGCATTGACAACACAGCACAAGGCAGGCAGTAGGAGCATCTGCTTTCGGATTCCCAAGACAGAGTAGGAGGAGAAGAAGAGAGAGAGGTTTCATATAGTTAGATTAGAATGGAAACCACAGGAGAGGAGAATTGCATTCAGATTTTTATTTTTTTTGCTGAAGGTGGAGAAAGAGCCCAAAGAGTGAGTGAGTGGCCTCCAGACATCCATTTCCTTTGCTTCACCATCATATCACCAAACTGTTGTTTTTACATTACTATGTGAGTACCAGGTGCTTCGTGCAGCTACACCCCACTCAGTAACACGGGGGGGCCTCCCATTTTCGTACTAAAGCAGGAATAATTTTGGCATGCTTTCGAAAAAAGAACAAAACAATCATTATTTTGGGCAGAGAAGGATGCAAAGATATCACGAACAGATATTCTTTTGGGTGTTTTCTGGCGTCCATTCAGGCTGTTCCCCATCTCTGAAACAGCAACCATCAGTTTTGCAACCACTTATTGCTGCAAAGCTAACAAGAAGTGGTAGAAAGCTGCACAATCAAAAACTGAAGATCTAGAACATCTTCTCTTTAAATTGTTTTCAATTTCAAAGCATTTCTGGAGAGACCAGGACAAAAATCCTACAAGGAATTCTTCAGCAAACAGGTTTTGTTTTAACTGAAAACCAGAAGCCTTGGCTTTAATTAATTTTTTGCACAGATAAGGTCAATAGCCAAGGATTCACAAAAATCAATGTCACTGCCTAGAAAGGAAAGGGCAGCAGTGGGTGTTTAATAAGGGCTCTTTGCCTAGGGGTAGGGAAGGTGATGCATGTATATGTGGAGGTGGGCATGCATGCAGAACTATAAAGCCTGGCTATTGTTGGGGAAAAGGTACATTGCTCTGCTGTTGTTCTTTTTCTTTTCTTTTCTTTTTTTTTTGACCAAACCAATTTTTTTTTGTTTTCTTTGGCAATTACATTTAGAAAAGCAGGGATTTGCTTGAGGCCAGAGTCTGTTCCCAAAGCTTGAGAAAAATGACTATAGGCCAGCACTCTCTGTGAATTAGCCTTGATTTGAAATATCAGAACTGTGCAGAGCAGAATAAATATTTACAGATCCAGCCGTAGCCCACTGTTTTGGTGGAATCATGTAGGGTGTACTTTATCCAAAGAGAAAGAGAACTCCCAAACAAAGCTGTACAAAAACATATTTGTCCAGATTGGTTAATGGGGCAAAAAAAGAAAAAGTGCTGGGCACAAAGAAGGAATACAGAAGGGGTTGAGCCGTGGGTCTTTTATGTATAAAACACCCCCCTGTTTCTGGTTTCCAGATAATACATGAAGATTAAGAAATGTCAAAAATGTAGTTTTGGAAATATAATGAGATTTTGTAGAGAAATCTGAATATTGGTATGCCCCCAAGGGAACAGAGAGGCTACAAAGGGCTGTGAAAAGCCAATCCAAGGAGAAGAAAGGGGTTTTAAAAATAAACTGCTTAGCTGACTTGCACCTTCAAAATCTCATGTGAGGGAGGAAATTTTCATTTTAATTGAAAATGGGAATCTTAGCATTGATTAAGTCAAGCATAGTATAGGCATGCACTGTGCAAGCTTCCCCCACAGAGCTCTGCCAATGCACCTCGCTCCTGACCTGCAAAACTCCCTGCTATTCCAGTGCTGGACCTCCTGGGCAGAGAAAGAATCACATCAATTTGTCATTGTGATGATATTGCTTATGTGATGAGAACCAATTGCCAATTAGGACAAAGATCACTGAAACTCACTGCATTTGACCCTAGCAGCATTTGAAGCCTGCTCTCCAGAGAGGTAAATTAGCATCAACACTCAGCAAAACCTCCCTTCTGATGCATTTTAAAGATTAAAATAGCTGTGTAATTAGAAGTTCAATGGGAGGGGCTCACACGGGAAACTGCAGATGCTTAATTTAAGTATCA